CATCTGAATTCACCTGGCAACCGACTTCCCAAATCAAAAGTGTCCATTATTTCCATTAAATGGAAAATATTTAAAACAAGTCGACTTTTATAAGAAAGTACGGCATTACAATGTTTTCTCTTAATAAATATAAAAAAAATCTAAACTTATCTAATCAGATCAAACGAATGGGTGATAAATGAACCGGACTTGATAACAGACTAACATTAGTTGAAAATTAGTTCAAGACCTGCACTACTGTTTCAGCACCAACAGAAGAATCATCGCAAAGTTCTCAGAACATAATAGACGTTCGTCGAATGCTGTTATTGCTGAATGTTAAAGAATATAATAAAGCAGATGGTAAAGACCGTCTCGATGAGAACAGAACTGTCATCCGGACTATACTGCCTCCTGACTCCTCTACTAATGTATACAGTTTTAAACTTTTTCATCTGTTGCTCGTGCAATACTAAAGTTTATACCGCCGGAACTTGTCGACCATCTGCTAAAGTCATATTACATCAGATATCCAGCTCAGCTGACACAGATCAGTTGATCATGCAAACTCATTATCAGAACGTAAGAGGACTACGCACCAAGCTCGACAGTTTTCTTACAGTGACAACAATCAGCAGCATTGAGTCATGGTTTCACTTACCGATCCATTTTGGGGAAATAACAGACGACTCATTAGTAGAGGCGTTTTCATCGCAATAAAAAATACCTATATCCATGCAAAGAATATTCCCATTCTCGATGATATTATCTTACACATATGCTCGTACATAAAAATCAAGTGCATAACTCCGATATCATCGTCGGATGCGTCTACTTTCCTCCAAGAGCATCACTTGACGCCTACCAGACACTCCTCGACACTCTCCAATATTAGAGAAGAAAATACAAATACACCAATCTAAATATCATGGGTAATTTTAACTTTTCAAGCAGTTCACTTCGAATTTACTGTTGAAAATTTGTTGAATTTCGAAAATTTAGTAATATTCAAATCGATAATAATAACCTGCTTGATCTCTGCTCTAGTAACCTAAACATTCATGTGGAGGAAGGGACTTGTACCATCCTGCCCTTGATATCACTAGTCAGTTCCAGCCCAGCCTCAAGTAGCTTTGCTTTTCTTCGAGTTCGAAAACTGAATTATATCAAATTTAGCTAACTTAGGCTAACTTAATGTAAAAAGCTCACTATACTATGTTACAAGAACTATATAGACAAAGTTGAAAAGAAGTTCCACGCTCACACAAGTGTATTTTGGAAATTCGTCAAGCACAAAAGAAGAAGCAATAGTGATTTTCCGTCCACTATGTTCTGAGGAAAATTGGACGATTTGGTTAGTATCGACGTCGCCTACAAAGCACTGTTGTTTCTGAATACGAGAAAGGGTGATGGTCCGGATGGATTACCAAATATCTTCCTTAAAAAATTGTGCTAGTCTCAGTGAACATCTCCCACACATATTCAGTTTTTCACTCCAAAATGGTACATTCCAAACTGTTTGGAAATCTTCCTACATCTACTTAAGCTATAATAATCAAATTCACTCAGGACAAATATTTTTAGCACTCCTACCAACAATGTAAAATCGGGTGATAACCCCGCACACCCCCGTATATAATAGTTATGAGTAAAAGTGAGATTACTCATTTAATAAACAAGTCTGAGACTTCAATGTTTACACAATTGATAGTACAATTAAGCTTTATAAGAGCCAATACAGAAATTAGGCAATGGGCGTAGCGAACCCACCTTTGAGTAAAAACCCATATCTCGGGATCTAATAGACCGATTTCAACAAAATGTGGTAAGTAACATTATCCTGGCATGCCTATGTTACAGTGCAAAAATAAGCGAAATCGGATTTAACGCCTATTTATACAACACAAATTTAAATTCCATCTGAATTTTTGACTTTCCAGTATAGAATTCAATGGATATATTGAAATAAAACTTCGCAAAAAGAGTGCCTTCAATATGCCATTCCAAGTCTAAAAATTGTCAAAATCGGGCCATAACTGTTAAATCACCCATATACTGAAGATATGGTCCCCGTCCATTGCCCATAGCTGACTTTTTACTTAAATTATCGTTCAACGATAATATTCCTGATAATTATATGTCTGTATGTCAAGAATGGATTGAATCGGGGGCTTAGCCCATATAAACCTAATAGAAAGACTTTCGAATTTCCGGCTAATATAATATTTAATTTATCTTAATATAATTGTGTGTTGACTTTACTCCTTATTTGGTACCTTATCCTTGTATTTATACTGGTGATAGTATGTGACGTACATTAATGAAACTCTGAAATAATTTTTTCCGTTAGCAATAGGTAGAATGCCAAAAATAGATTAAATTTGGATTTTTTTTTTTATTTTTACAAACCTTATACCGAATATGTCGGTCAGTGTGTGAGTTATTTATTTATAAAATAGCTTGAAAATATGTTCTCAAGTATGAATTTCGTCGAATAATGAATGTTGAATTCCTTCGCAATATTTTTTTAATATTAAGTTTTGCTAACACCTGAAGGTATTTGGTCGGCTTTGATCCTTGCAAGTTGCAAGAGCATAAAATGTTCAGTTACGCCCGAACTTAGCCCTCTTTTACTTGTTTTCTTTAAAGTTGTGAGTGGCCTGATTGACGCGCCTGCCATCAACAGTTGTTTTGAATTCTCGCCTGTGGGTCTCTCATTCAGACGTAATCGTCTGCTAAAAACTGCAAGAACTACCAACGAATTCGACTTCTATAGTGGTCGTTCGCACGAAAGTCGGGTCTACGTAACCGGAACGGACCCGGATTTATTCCAGCCAAGGACTGTCAACTCGGCAGAATTCTGCCGCTACAAAAACAACAACAACAACTTCTATAGTAGCTCGCTGAGTGCTTTCATTCTAAAAATCAAATTACGTTTATTACAATATTCCAGTCCATTGATAAATTTTTATGTGTTGCTTTAATTAATTATTAATAATTTCCCTTGTAATCATATTTCATTAATTCTTATTTTAGTTGTATAATGCCGATTGGCGCCTGTATATTTAAATAAGTATATACAGTTACTGACAATAAAATAGAATTAAATCCGTTCCGAAATAATTAACAGTCCATTATTTGTCCGATAAATTTTGAATACGTTTTGCCTGTAATTGAGTCCTACAAAATTTATATTTTAACACACCATCATGGTAGTTCAGTTACATTTTACTGTTATCTTTGTGGTCAAATTAAACAAAAGTGTGTATTTGTTGTAACAAAGAAAAAAAATAGAATCAAGGAATAAAAATATCCATTATAGATTTTATTTATTAAGAAATTATATTGTAAGTATATAATATTTAGGATATTTCTTAAAACTTGACATTTCGTTACAATTAAGTATTATTTGTAGAAGAAATGGACCGAGGAAAGCACTACACATATTTTCAAAATATCGGTTATACTCAAAGGGAATTTCAAAACTCGCAAAAATTTGTGTTTACTGCTCACCTCAAAAAAAAAAATGCGAATTGGGGGGACTGCCACGAAAAACAACAAGTTTCAGGATTACAATTACATATTCAAAGAAAATTTGGTGTAGAAATATTTTGGAGAACTGTTCGTCGGTTTTAGAAAAGAATCTAATCGGAATGTTTTCCCGGAAAGTTCCAATGTTGACAAAAGAAGAACGGAAGAACCGGATTGCTTTTGCTTTAGCGCATATCAATTAGACCGGTGAAGTAAATGTAAATAAATTATAGTTTAAAAAACTAAAACAAAACGCTTTAAAGGCATTTTTAAACCTCCTCCTATAAAGCTCTTCCCTACCATCTTGTTTGTGAAAATTAATGCTTATGGCGCATTTATTTCGTCAGTTATCGCACTTCTGCTATATTTTAACATAACTGTTATACTTGTACTGGGAGTGGGCGTGGTTATTATCTGATTTTGGTTATTATCATTTTCACAGCGTATGAAAGAGGGCTAAAAGGACCTCCTCTCAGCAAATTTGGTTGAGTTAGCTTTAGCGGTTTGGAAGATATATAAATTAAACCATTTAGGGGCGGGGTTACGCCCACCTTTAAAGTAATGGGAAAATGTTATCAAATTATTACATTGTCATCGGTCCTTGACACGTCTGCAAAGTTTCAAGTTGATCAAACTTCTGGAAACCGGTGAAAATTGAGCTCTAAGATTCCATTACATACATACAACCCAAGCTAATAAAAACGTATTAAAAGAGTGGCGGAAGATCCTTTTATCCGATGAATCTAAAATAAATATGGTAGGTAGGAAGGAAAAAATTTGGTTTGACGTCCGAAGAATCCTGAAATGAATCCCCGATACACGGCACAAATTTTCAAACAGGGAGGTGGCAATATGATATGGGGATGTATTTCGTGGTATGGTGTTGGACCGCTGTTTTGGATTTGGGAAATCATGGACCGTTATCACCACCTTAGAATTTTAGAAGATGTAATGCTTCCTTAAGCTCAATGGTACATACCTTTAGTTTGGCAGTTCCAACTAGGGAATGACCCGAAGCATACCTTGGGTGTGGTCAAGACTTGACTACAAGATGGGAAAAAGTCCAAGGAGTGGTATTAAATACCGAATCCAGTCTGTGAAGCTCTAGTGAAATCTATGCCGAAAAGGTGTGCTGCCGTACTCGCAAATAAAATTTTTTGCAACGAAATTCTAACTTATATGCATGTTTTAGTTATAATAGTCTACTATTTACGAGTTTTGGTTCCATGACAATTCCTTTAAAAGTTGTCTGCGTATAATACTTAAATTTTTATTAAGTTATTTTTGGTTTTGAAATGTTTAAAATAAATTTTATTAACTATAAAAAATAAAAGCTTCCTCCTAAGAACTGGTAACACTTTTTTTTGCAAATAGTTGTGAATAAAATTCTGATTATATTGTATTGTAAGTAACTGTATATACTCTTGTGCTTAATTTTTCTAATAATGTCAGTAATGCAGATTTTTATATGCTATTTTTTATGTTTACAGTTTGGAAATATCACGTAATTCAACGAATCTAACGGTATTCTGGTATCATTATAACCAAAAAAGAAATAAAAACACTTAAAATAATATACTAAATCAGTTTTTAATTTTATCGATAAAATGACAACTGTGACTACAATACAAAATTATAATCGACAGCAAAGGTGATTTGAAAATAACGAATTAAAAATGATAAAACTTCCTTAATATTTAAAATTCTTATTTTAGTACTGACTCTGGTTGGGATAATCCTTTTAGACCTGGTGGAGATTTATCTAGAGAAGCTGATGAAATAGTCAACATGATAAGAGGTATTTTGTAGTTTCATTACAATAAATATTAGTCTGCAGATGGTAGTTTAAATCTTCCGAATAGTGAATTTACGACGGTGGTATTAGGTATTGAAAAATAAAAATATTGATACCCCCAATATGGAAGGAGTTTTTATGATTCATTAGCAAGGCCACTAATGTTACTCTTTAAGAATTTTAAAGCGGTGCTTTTTTGGTTCTTTAAATATTTTCAATATTTCATAATACAATGTTTATTACTAATATTTACATTTATATTGTTTGGCTACAATTTTAAGTAAATAAATATAAAAATATTAAACAAGTAAGATCGAGCTATATTGAGGTGCAGCCGAACAGTATGGTATATTCTCTCACAAACCGTAAGAATTTATACCACTTTTAAGGTTTTCAACTATATTCAATTGAATTGAAGCTAGAGCAATTCAACTTCAGATCAAACAAACTCTTTTTTGGTATTACGGACTTCAACTATATTCGTCTCTGTTTATTGGTGTGACCAACCTAGAAACTGAAGATTTGCCGGATAGTTAAATACAAGCAGCTGCAAATTTTTAAACGAAAAATTAATACAATTCAATTCAGCTATTACTCGGGTAGTCTCTCAAAATACTTTATAAGTATTCTGCGAATTTTATCTAGAACGCATGGAATGTTTAAATCTTTATGAAATTCGTCATTGGGTACAAACTAGGGCGCGTTAACAATAAGTCTATGCGTTTTAGAAAGATATCGTTAAATAATTTCAATATTTGACTGGCTTGCTGTACCCCACAATTGGATAGCATATGTCCAGACAGGCTTTAAAATAGCCTTGTAAAGCCGAACTTTGTCATGCGATTTTCTGTCAATTTCGATTAGTAGTTGGTTTTTGACAACAAAAAAGGTTAGTCACGTTTTTGTGTGCTCTTTAATTTTTGAAAGAAATGGATCTAACAAAATGCATTAAATATTGCGATAAAAATTCAACAAAGCGCTACAAGGCACTTGAAATGTTGACTGTGACATTCGGGGAGTCCACTTTGTCAAAGTGTTTTCAAGCGCTTTACAGAAGGCCGAGAAGATGTTAATGACGATGAGCATCCGGGACCGTTCCCACGACAGTCGGGTCTACGTAACCGGAACGGACCCGGATTTTATCCGGCCAAGGACTGTCAACTCGGCAGAATTCTGCCGCTACGACAACAACAACAGCATCCGCGAGGTGAGATCACGTCAACAAGCGAAGAAAACATCGAAACACTGAAAACAATTTTTTTTTGTAAATCATCGAATCACTATTAGGGAAGTTGCAGGGGATGTTGGCATATCAATCGGCTCATGCCATTCAATTTTCTCCGAAGTTGCTACATTTTAAGCAAAAGTAATGTCGCATTAGTATTGCTCAGGAGTTGTTGAACGACGTCAGCAACAATCTGGGTTCGCTCAAACGGGTCATAACTGGTGACGAATGGTTAACGTCGAAACTAAGGCCAAATCATCCCAACTGGAAGCTGCCGGTAAGATTCTGTTTTGCATCTAGTTCTTGATAAATTTTGCAGCCTTTGTAGCTAGCAGCATGATCTGGCAAACAGTTAACACATTTGGCAGGCAAATGTTGGTTTTTCTTACACGCTGTTGTTGGATGACTCAAAGAACACTTAACGCATCTAAATGTTTTTGTACAATACGTGTTTGTATGTCCGTATTCTTGGCATCGAAAGCATTGTGCACTATCTATTATTTTCTTTGTATGCTCTACTCTAATTGCTGCAATATTTAGGTATTTCAGATTATTTATTTTTGCATTGTTGTTCGGTTCCAGATCAATAAAAGATATGTTCAATGGATACTTGGTAATACCACTTCTGAATTGCTAAATGATAGCGTATATAGGGCCCACAACTAAGCTGTAAATTAAAATACAAAACTCAGGAGGGGACCTGTGGTTCGAAAATCTTTAAAAAGTGGGCCTGACCTCGCCACCTATTAGTTTCAATGTATATATCTTCCAAATAATGAAGTTGTATCACCCAAATTTGCACAGGACAAATATTTTCAACCCTTCTTACGATAGCGTCCGAATAGATGAAATCGGGTGATAACCCTGCTCACTCTCCATATAACAGGTTTATTAAAAACTTCTAAACGTGCGATAAATCAATAAATAAATGTGTCATAGACAGCAAATTATATATCCAGGATGGAACGAAAGCTTTATAGGAGCCGGTGTCAAAATCGGACGAAAAGTTCGTTCGGTTTTTATCTAAGAGATGGCGTTATTGTCCATAGTACTACTGTTAGCGGCTGAAAACATTAATTTAGTTTATGGGCCCGATACTGTAAACGAACGTGTAGCACAAAAGTGATTTGCTAGGTTCCGTTCCGGTAATTTTAATATCAAAGATGCACCACGCGTCGGGAGGCCTGTCGTCGAAAATTGCGATAAATTCATGGAAATAGTGGAAACAGACCGTCACGTGAGCACTTATTTAATTGCTGAGGAAATAAAGATAAGCCAGAAAACCGTTTGGAACCATTTGCATAACCTTGGATTCAAAAAGAAGCTCGATGTTTGGGTGCCACACGAACTAACGCAAAAAACATGATGGACCGAATTTCCATCTGCGAATCGCTGCTGAATCGCAACAAAATCGACCCGTTTCTGAAGCGGATTGTGACTGGCGATGAAAAATGGGTCACTTACGACAATATCTAGCGCAAACGGTCGTGGTCAAAGCTCGGGGAAGCGGCCCAGACGGTGGCCAAGACCGGATTGACGGCAAGGAAGGTTTTGCTGCGTGTTTGGTGGGATTCGCAAGAAATCATTTACTACGAGCTGCTCCCCTATGGCCAAACGCTCAATTGAGCCCTCTACTGCCAACAACTAGACCGCTTGAAGGCAGCACTCATCCAGAAGAGGCCATCTTTGATCAACAGAGGCCGAATTGTGTTCCATCAGGACAACGCCAGGCCACACACGTCTTTGGTGACTCGCCAGAAGCTCCTGGAGCTCGGATGGGAGGTTCTAATGCACCCACCTTATAGTCCGGACCTGGCACCAAGTGATTACCATCTTTTCCTGTCCATGTCGAACGTACTTAATGGTGAGAAGTTGGCCTGTGAAAATTGGCTCTCCGAGTTTTTTGGCAATAGTCGTACGAACAAAACGGCGCATATTTGACTTAAATCGGACAAATGTACACAAAGTTATCATCTTTTGAAAAATCAATAAAAAAACCGAACGAACTTTTTACTTTACCTAATATTATATACATAACATTCTTCTGATATTCCTATGTTAAAGTGCGAAGAAAATTGGACTCCAACCACGCCTACATCCCATATAATAACTTTAAATTCTATATAATTCTTTCAGATTCCAGTCCGGGATAGAACTTTACATCAATAGTGCCTTTCAAGTGTGCAACCGAACCAAAACTGTTCAAGCCCCTAGGTATTGAATATGTGAACCCCACTGCTAGTTGACTTTTTACCGAAAATATCGGTCTATCTGTAAGATATATAATTGAAATTCAGCGAGAATCCTTTCCTGATAATAGTTTATCTGAATGTCAAAAATTGGGTTGAATCGGGTCAATACTTCCCTTCGGCCCCATATCACTAAAAAAAAATTTCGAGCTCCGGGTGTTTTTATACAGCATTATCGCCCAGTATGTGAGTTATCTCAATAAAAATGAGAGAGCGTCTTTTCTAATAACAGTGTATATTTGTGCGCAAAATGGACAAAATTGAGTGAAAACTTGACCTAGCTAATACATAACTAATATTAGAACTTTCGAACATCCGGCTGACTTTACTGCATATATGTATATTGGTGGTGGTATGTGAGGTACCTTTATGAAGCACAGGTAACATTTTATTTGTACTACAAGTAGCACGTTTACAGTATGTGGTATTGGCAAAAAAAGATTATATCGAGTCAATACTACCACAACTCCCATATACTACATATAATGATTTTCGTTTTTATACTCTCGCAACCTGTTGCTACAGAGTATAATAGTTTTGTTCACCTAACGGTTGTTTGTATCACCTAAAATTAATCGAGTTAGATATAGGGTTATATATATATAAATGATCAGGATGAAGAGACGAGTTGAAATCCGGGTGACTGTCTGTCCGTCCGTCCGTCTGTCCGTCCGTCCGTGCAAGCTCTAACTTGAGTAAAAATTGAGATATCTTTATGAAACTTGGTAGACATGTTTCATGGTACCGTGAGACGGTTGGTATTGCAGATGGGCGTAATCGGACAACTGCCACGCCCACAAAACGCCATTAATCAAAAACAAATAACTTGCCATAACTAAGCTCCGCAATAAGATACAAGACTGTTATTTGGTACACACGATCACATTAGGGAGGGGCATCTGCAGTTAAAATTTTTTTTTAAAAAGTGGGCGTGGTCCCGCTTCTAATAGGTTTAATGTGCATATCTCCTAAACCGCTAATGCTATAATAACAAAATTCACTGGAAGCAAATGTTTTTAGCACTTCTATTGACGGTGTGAAAATAGTTGAAATCGGGTGGCAACTCCGCCCACTCCCCATATAACGGTACTGTTAAAAACTACTAAAAGCGCGATAAATCAAGCACTAAACACGCCAGAGACATTAAATTTTATCTCTGAGATGGTATAAGATGACTTTATAGGAACCGCGTTCAAAATTAGACAGTGGGCGTGGCACAGCCCACTTTTAGGTGAAAACCCATATCTTGAGATCTGCTTAACCGATTTCAACCAAATTCGGTGCGTAACGTTCTTTTCGTGTTTTTATGTCATAGTGCGAAAATGGGCGAAATCGGACTACAACCACGCCTATTTCCCATATAACACCTTTTTCAATTCCATCTGATTCTTTCACTTTCCACTATGCAAATCAGGTAACAATGATTATATCGGGGTAAAACTTTGCGTGAATAATGCGTTTGAAGTATGCCACCTTGTGAGCAAAAATTGTCTAAATCGAGTCAAAACTGTTCAAGCCCCTAGGTAATT